TTGACATAGGTGACTTCACTTAATATTCCCAAAGCATATAGTAAATAGTTTTATTTACCTTGTTATAAAATATCAAAACTTAAAAACATGGAAGTAATTGGTTGTTGTTGTTATGTACCATCGAGTCACCTGTGACTCATAGCGATCCTATATACAACATCCCTAAACCATTCTCTCCCATGCCAATCTTATTGTTTCTTACACACCTATCCCCATTACCTCAGTCAATAAATCAATCCACCTCATTGAGAGTCTTCTTCTCCTATGCTATCCTTCCACCCTCATAAGCATGATGCCCTTCTCCAAGGATTGATCCCACATTGCAACATGTCCAAAGCATGTCAGAATCCTTGCCTCCAAGGAGCATCCTGGCTTCACCCTCTCCAGGAGAAACTTGTTTATTCTCCTAGCAGTCCATGGTAGGTATATTCAATACTCTTCTCCAGAACCACAACTCAAAGGCATCAATTCTTCTTCTTATTACTAGTCACTGTCCAGCTTTCTGATGCATAGCAAATAACTGCAAAGGCCATGACCTGTGTCAGATGCACCTTAGTCTTCAGACTGACATCGTTGCTCTTCAGTGCTTTGGAGAGGTCTCTGACAGCAGACTTTCCCAATGCAATTTGTCCTTTAATTTCCAGGCTGCTGGTACCAAGAGTGTTCATTCTAGAGCCAAACAATCTGAAGCTGTCAACAATCTCAATCTCTTCACCATCTATCATGATGCTGTCAATCAGCCTAGTGGTGAGAATCTTTTTTTTCTTGATGTTGAGCTTCAATCCCTATTAAAAGATGCAGTCCTTGACCTTCTGCAGCAAATGCTTGAGGTTTTCCTGTTTCAGCAAGCAGGGTTGTATCAGCTGCATAATGCAGATTGTTGACGAGTCTACCTCCAATCCTAATGCCACATTTCTCCTCATAGAGCCCAGCCTCCCAGATAATCTGTTCTGTATACAGATTGAAAAGATATGGAGATAGGACACATCCTTGACATACGCCCTTCCCAATTTTGAACCATGCAGTGTTTCATTGCTCTGTTCTGATGACTGGCTCATGGTCCAAGTATAGGTTTTGCATAAGCACAATGCAGCGTTCTTGGATTCCCATTCTTCTCAGAGTTAGTCACAGTTTGTTGTGATCTACACAGTCAAATACCTTTGCATAGTAAATGAAATTATTTTAAAAAAATAAAATAAAACCAAGCCAAGCAAGGGTCTGAACCTATATTCAAATTCCAATTGCTTCCATAGTCCTATAAATCAGAGACTATCAGTCTCTGACTATCAGTCCTATAAATGTAGAGACTAAGATGTGCCTGATCCAGGCCATGGTCTTTGCAATTACTTGCTATGCATCAGAAAGCTGGACAATGACTAAGGATGACAGAAGTAGAATTCATGCCTTTGAATTGTGGTGCTGTAGAAGAGCCTTGAACATACCATGAACTACCAAGAAATCAAATAAATCTCTGTCTTGGAAAGGGTGAAACCAACTTTCCCCTTGGAGGCTAGAATTTTGAGGCTCCATCTCATATACTTTGAGCATGCTGCCAGAAGGGACCAGTTCTTGGAGAAGGACATCATTCTTAGAAAGGTGGAGGGACAGAGCAGGAGAGGAATATCCCAGATGAGATGGATTGAGACAATAACTGGAGTAATGGGAATTGGCTCAGAACAGGGGAGGCTTCAGGGCTGTTATGTACAAGGCTGCTATGAGTTGCTGGCGGCTTATGGCATGTAACAATCACAATGCTGGGAATGAAAAAACAGAGTAATAATGGTTTTGTAGTCATCGTCAAAAACAAAATTTCAAGTTCTATCCCACAGTACAATGCTGAGAGATATATTATCCATATACATACAAGGAAGACACATTAATATGACTATTATTTAAATACATGCACCAATAACTAAGGCAAAGAGAAGGAAATGAAAGATTTTTATCAAATATTGCAGTATAAAACTGACTAATACAAGCAATATGCATTAATGATAATTGGGGATTGGAATGCAAAAGATGGAAACAATGATGGAAGGATAGCTGGAAAGTATGGGCTTGATGACCAAAATCAGGCCCAGAAATTGAATGATCAAATTTTGTATGTTCAATGATTTCTTCATCACAAATACCTTGTTTAAAAAAACACAGACACACACTTTACACTGGACCTCACCAGAAGGATTATATAGGAATCATACTGACTGTATCTATAGAAAAAAAAATGGCTGGAGAAAACCAATATTAGCGGTCAAAACTAGACGAGATGCTGACTGTGGAAGAAAGTATCAATTACTCACCACTAAGTTTTAATTTGCTTGGCTCCACAATCAACAATTTTGGTACCAGGAGCCAGGAAATCAAAAGAAGAACTTCATTGGGAAAGTTGGCTGTCAAGGACCTCTCCAGAGTACTGAAGAGCAACGATCTCAGGGGCTGGAGACTAAGGTGCACCTGATCTAGGCCATAGTCTTCACAATTGTTTGCTATGTGTCAGAGAGCTGGTCAATGACTAAGGATGATAGAAAGAGAATTGATGCCTTTGAGCTGTGGTGCTGGAGAAGAGTTTTGAATATACTGTGGACTGCTAGGAGAACAAAAAGGTTTGTTATAGGGAGGGTGAAACTGAGCTCCTCCTTGGAGGCAAGGACTGAAGCTTCGTCTGACATACTTTGGACT